GAAGGAGAGGAGGGGGTGGGCTGTGCTACCAAAACATCCAGATTAATGAATGTCACGTGGCTGGTGAGAACCACCACCCCTGGTTTTGGGGGGAACATTGCAAAACGGGGAACTCGGGAGACTGGGGAGTCCATCAACCCAATGACCCCATTGTCAAGTCAAACAAGCAGACCAAGGAAGTAACATCTGGCATCCTCACCATCTGGCCCCCTCAAAGAGCATGAACCTCCCTGAGGGTGGAGCCTTGACTTTTGGGGAAGGAAGGGAAGAGGGAGTCTTCCATTTGGAATCTGCTCTGAGCATGGAGAGAAGCTTCTCCCATTTCGATTGATGACACTTGTTGTCAGTCTTTAAATTACTCACTCAGTATTGCCCAAACCGGTCTAGCTCAAGCCAAGGGCTGTGTTTTAAGAGCCTTGAGCTACTGGGGAAAGTGTGTGTGTGGGGGGGGGACGCTGCCATTTTGCTGCCTGGGGGAGAGCCACAAAGGCCCTTCTTCTGCCCTCCCTCCCACCTCTGGAAAAGACGTGGAAGCCAAAGCTGGCTGAGTTATTTTGGTGCCTGACGCTTCCCGCGGGAGTAAAAGATAAAGCAAACATTGAACCACTGCTGCCCTTTTAGGACGCTTCTGCCCGGTGGTTGCAGCATTCAGCTGGCTCAGCTTGCGGGGAAAATCTGTGACCTTTCCTGGTAGATGCCAATTTCAGAGTGGGCCTCTCCAGGCTAGACTACTAGGATCTGCTTCACACAGGGCTGCCCCAGACGATGGTTCAGGAGTCCGTACTTCCCTGAAGTCCAGTGCTCTGAAGAAGTGCATCCCAGCAACTCCCATCACCCCCAGCCAGCACACAGGCAGGATGGGAGATGTAGTCCAGTACATCTGGAAGGTGCCGGGCTGTGTGTGCGGGGGGGGGGTGTCAATTCCCACACAAGATGGCCCCAGGGTGTGCATCTTCCCTTGCTTCCAAACCCCAACCCTGCGCTGCTGGCTCTGAGGCTCTGCGAGAGCCGCCACTGGTCCCTCCTTCAGCAAATCCGTGTACGCCTAAGACACTGTCCCGCATGCGGTCAGACTGCTGCTCCGTTGAGCTCAGCGCTGCTTGCGCCGGGGTGTTGAGGCTCCGTCAGACCGCGGGCTGCACTGAGCCTCAGAGACCCTCGCGGGGGCTGCGCTCCAGCAGTGGGAAGGGCCAAAGCAGCCACGGATTCGAGCGCCGGCGTCCTTCCTGCCTGTCCCACGGGGCTTAGCAGCCATCTGGTTCTTTCGTCAGCTGTTCGCATGCCTTTCCTCACGGCAGTTTCCTGAAGGCCACGGAGGCCTCACCGACTTCTCTAGGCTCAGCTTTGCAAAACCGAACCTGACACGTTTACAACTGCCAGCTCTCATGAGCGTTTTGATCCATCTTTTTAAGTGTCCAGTGTGCAACAGAGTTTATTCTTCCAACAGCACAAAACCCTCCAAGCCAAATTCAATGCTTAGGTGGAAGAGCAGGGGAAATACTCTCCTTATTGCCTGCCCAGGGCAAAGTAATTTGCACGGCTGTTTTCCTGCTTCCAGTTAGAGTTGTTGGGGGGAATTCAGGCTTATAGAGATTTGGGCCATCCTCTGCCTCGCACAAAACCCACCAGTCCCTTTTTGTGGGCCAGGAAAGGCATTTTTAAATGTTAATGTGTGAGCTTGGAGAAGGAGGGAAGGAGAGAAGCACATACCCAAAAATAGGACTGATTTTTCTGAGGAGTTTTGCTGGCATTCGGGATTCAGGAAGAATGCGCCCTGCCTGGCTTGCAACTGGCGCTCTTGCTGTCTCGGCTTCTTCATTTCCTTTTCCTTCAAAGAGAAAAGAAGACAAATGGAGATAATTTTTACAATGATCCTTAAGGGCCCCTTTCCGCTGCCTTTTTGCCCAGATCTACTTAAAGGGCTCTCCGTATCGCCATATCAGGCGAATCAGGTACCATAAAAGGCCCGTGCGCTTCACAAGCATCTGAGGCAGGGGACCGTTGCTGCGTGCCCACGGCGCCCCATCCCTCCCCATGGCCCATCAGCGCCAAAGGCAGCTCCCAGGACTAACCGAATCCCCCTCGCCTGCCCAGCTCACAAAGCAAGCGGTCGGTCGACTTTGGGGCCATGGGGCCTCGCGGCCTCTTTTGCATCCCCGTTCCCTCCCCCGCCATTACTTTTTTATGCTCACCAGGCTGCAAACAATTACAAAAGATAACCAAATGCCCAGCAGTCCTCTTTCCTAATTAGGGGCAAGGGCTTGTGCTTTGGAGGGTAGCTAAGTGCTTCAATTACCTTGCTCTTCTCAGCGTTTTTCCCTCTGCTGTCCTTGTTAGACCAGGCAGGCCTGGGACCCAAAGGGGAACAATTAAGGCCAAAGCGGGAAGGTTTGGGGAGGGGACAGGCAGTGGAAACACAGAAAGCGCGACCTGCTGCCTGAGCCAGGCCTGTGGCTCACCACTGCAGAGCCAGAGAGAGGTGGATGGGCACGTCTGCCTGCTTTTAGCCACCCATCACAATTGGGCTCAGCAACAGGAGCGGGCAAAGGAGGCACAAAGCACTGCGCAGCCATGGCATGTGCTCTTCTCGGCACTGTGCCTTTTAAAGGAATAGCTTTGTGAGTGTGAATATGTCGACGATCATCATCTTTGTCATTACTATTAATTTTTAGCATGAGTCTCCAGAACCAAACCAAAAAAGCAAATGAATAAATAAAATTATTTTTCTGATGCCAGGCTGAAAGAATTAGGTTCAGCCTGGAGGACAGACTTTTGAGAGGGAAGAGGAGGCCTGGGTGGCACCTCAGGCCAGCTGGCCATCACACCCAGCCCTGTCGACCACTGGCCACTTGGGGTGCATTTCGATGACTTCATCCTGGACATGCCCGTTTCCCCATGGTCACCCTCTTGTGACAGTGCGAGGCACCCCTTGCTTTGCTCCCAAACCAGCATCGCCTCCAAGCTGCACTGTTCGGTCTCTCCCGTGGTGAGGGCTTCGCAGTTCTGGACATGGGAGAGCTCTGGGTCCAGTGTCTACCCACGTATGGGCCAAGGCAGATTTCCAAGGGTGGTGGGAGCGGGGTAGCACCTTGGACGGCGCCAAGTGGTGCTGGGTTCAAGCCGCAGCGTGCCCGTACGTGGCTCCAACAGGGAGCAGCTCAGGAGTGAGCCTTAAGTAGGAAGGCTGCTTTTCTTGAGCTCAGCTTCCACCCTGATCAAGGCTTTTTCTCTTCGCTGGTCTGTTCTGGGAATTCCGGGTTGCAGCAACAGGGAGGCAAGCTAAAGAGATGGAGCGTGAGGTGGCAAAGCAGCCTCCTCAGAGCAGAGGGAAGCAGGCCCCTGAGGTCTTCCCTGGGAAGGTGGGAACCTCTGGACCCCCTTTCTGTCACCAGACTCTCGCCATGAGCCTTTTCTTCTGGGGATGATAGAGCAAAGCCCCAGGCCGATGACTCCGGTGCCTGGAGAAGAGCGCAGAATGTTCTGTGTGTGAGGGAGCTTTCAGGAAAAGCAGCATTTTGTAAGTTTTTCCAAGTCAAAAGTTTTCAGAGGAGGCTGACGCAGGGCTGCAGAGCCCGCAACGGTGCCACCCCCGTCTCCGGTGCCCCTCGCCTGCACGCAGCTCTCATCATGCATAGATTTTAATTTTAACAAAATAGCTGTCTCCGGTGAAAGGATCGTCAGCATCTAGAAAGGTGAAAACTCGTCTTGAGCTGAACCGGCTCCGGTGCTGTCATTGATTTTCCAGGAAGGAAAAAAACGCAGCCTCTGGCTACTCAACCAAATTAGTAGTCACTGATGACCAATTATTTTTCTCCACTCTGAACAGGAAGCCACAACTAAAACTCCGGTTTGTCAGACCCAAGGCTTTCCCCCTGAAACACCTTTCAACCAGAGTGTACTTAAAGCCCTTTAGAAGGTTCTGACGCTGCCTGGGAAATTTCATCCTCCTTAAAAAAAAGAAGACGGAAAATTGAAAAAAAAGTTTTAATGAGCTGTGGGGATTTGATGGGCCGTCATAAGAACAGGCCCTGTTCTAGTCTCAGTAGAGAACTATTTCGCCACACAGGCGAATCGCACCTGTCAAGATTTATAGATGCGTACACCCAAAAAGTGTCAGCATTATATTTGCAAATTATCATTATCATTTCCCTCGTGTCTCCTGCCCTGTTTTTTTTGTTTTTTTTTTTTGAGAGGGGGCGTTTTTTTAAGACAAGTCCCAGCTTCCTGGTATCCAGTACAAAAGCAACACAAACTCGAATCAAGCAAAAGAGAGTTTGCAGCTCATTTAAGGTCTACACGGTTTTGATTTTAAGATAGTGCTCGTACTTCATTAAGCAGGTGGTGTTGGGTGTTTTGAAGGTGGTGCCTGGCAGCAAAACGGCCGGCTGAAAAGAGTGGCAGGTTTTCGTTTCCACGAGGAACAGCCAGGTGCCAGTTGCAAAAGTGTGGAACGAGCCTTTCCATTTAAGCATTTCCTGGCTCTTGAAATAATTTAGCAGAAGAGATTATTTAAGATACAGCAGTGGGGTGGTGAGTAGATACTGTTTGAAAGTAATGGTTTTGAAAGCACACATGAATAAATTTTAGAGCATTTAAAGAAGACACAACCTTAGAAGAGCAGCTCCGTCAAAAGTATCTTGTACGAAAAATGGGCGGGGGGGAACCCCCTGGAAGAGACTAGCACAGCCTTCTCTGGATGCTGGGACTACAATTCCCATCAGCCCTGATCAGTGGCCCCACTGGCTGCTGCCGCTGAACTCTTCATCACGGTTGGTGGTTTAAACTTAATTAATGCTTTCAAAAATAGCCTTGAGGGGCACAGCCCAGCTCCCCTGCAAAGTTTGTGCAAAGTTTGTGCAAAGTTTGTGCAAAGTTTCAAGCATTCAGGTGGGTTTCGCCATCTTTGCACGATGGTGCTGATGGACCGCCTGGCAGGCAAAGACCTGCTTTCACTATTCCAGGTTCTTACGATCCCCATTGTCCCTCTTGGTCTTCCTCAGGCCTTCCACGCCTTTCTTTGAGCTGCTGCAACACAAGTACCAGGAAATATGGCTGGATCAGCAGAGAGGGATCATTAAAGCCGAGAATGAAGAAAGAAAAGAAAAGGTAACCAGATCCAGGCTGAAACGCTCCTTCCCTCCGAGAGAGCTCACAGATGTGCCCCGGCGATTCCTCAAAACCGAAGTGGACGCATGCAGAGATCAAATTAGCAGCCTCCTCCAAGGGATGGGGGTTAATGTCTGCTGCAGCTTTGCACAGAGAGCTGAATAATGAGGCAACAGGGTAGATGCAGAGCTGCAGAATCCCAAAGAGTGGCTCTCGCCCAAGCACGGGGAGGAACGGGCTGCTCCGTGGTGGGCCGGCTGCCTTGGCCTCCCGAGGCAGGGCCAGCGCTCCTTTGCCGGAGGCGCTTCAGCAGAAGCCGGAAGTCCTGCTCTCGCTCCCACGATGCCTGCAGGTTGGACTAGAGGACCTCCATCACGATCTGAGTTGTTTTTCCTTTGCAATAGGACGACAAAGGAATAATTGACCAAGTATCCACTAGTGACGGGTGGTGCTCAGTGCCGACAAAGATCCAGAGCTCAGGCCAAGAGGGTTTTTGAAAAACGGGCACCTATCTGCAGATGCACACAAGCCTGTGTGTTTGAAAGACCCTGTCCTTAGGATGCCCCTGTCCGTAACAAGGGGATGCTTGGATAGCAGGGAAGAGGGCGATCAATTGCACAAAAACTCTCAGACAGAACGAGCCAAGCGGGGAGGCCACAGGTGAAAGTGGAGTGTGAGATACTGTGAGTGAGTGTGCTGAGTCCTGGGCGAGCCGATGCCACAGAGACCCACGGGGGTGGGGGGGCGCCCTTCGATTTCATCAACTGGCCCTGAGCAGCAGGGAGGAGGGGCAGAGGCCTCCCAAAAGTTTGGGGCTCCCAAGGAAAGGTGCAGAGCTTCGGCCTGCATGGGCTGCCCCAGACACCCTTTCCTCTGTCAGAGCTGCAGAGTCCGCAGCTACCTGTAGCCAGGTGATGCAAGAGACGGCCCCCGGCTCCCTCGACATAATCCCAGCATAATTCTGCTGCAACTCATTCTGGTGAGGAACAAGGGGCGTCTTCAGTCGAGTCGACCCTGGGCTGCGTCTCGCCAGGATTGTCCACTCTGATTGGCAGCTGCCACTCTCGAGGTTTTAGGTAGGGCCCATTCCCAGTCCAACCCAGAGATGCTGGGGACCTTCTCTGGGCAGACCAGGGGCTTGGCCCTGCAGGAACAACCCCTCTTGTGCCTCTGTTTCCTCTGTAGAAACGCCGGGGAAAGGTCTACGACACACGGACAACGTTGCTGAGGAAGTTCCAGCCTCCGATGAAGGCAGAGCAACTCTGGCATATGCCCCATTTTCAGAAGGTACGTCGGAACCACAAGCAAAGTTTTATCTTCTCACGCGATGACGCCTATCAGTGCCCTCCAGCGCGATCCTTTGCAGCGGCCTTCCCCAACCCGGTGGCCTTCACAGGCGTTTGGACCGCGGCTCCCAGGATTCCCATCCAGCAGGGCCATGGGCTGGGCATTCTGGGTGTTGCAGTCTATACGTGCCTAGAAGGCACGCGGCTGGGGAAGGCTGCTTTACCATACCTGCCTACAGTACCTCTCTAGGCAGTGTGGTGGAGTGGCTGGAGCACTGGGCCAGCTAAGAGAGAAATGTAAGGTACAGAGGATGTGGTAAGGGGGAGAGAGAAGCAAAGGGGTGGTACTAGAAAGGAAGCAGGAGGAAAGGGAACGGAACGGTGAAAAGGGAAGGGGAGAGGCGTTGGTTCTAGAAGGAAAGTGATCGGGAGTAGCAGAAGGAGAGAAAAGGGGTGGGAGAGAACGAGGAGGGGAAGGGTGGGGTAGAGGGGCAGACGGGGTGGCAGGAAAAGAGGAGAAGTGGGGGCAGAAAGAGAGGCCAAAGGAGATGGGAGAGAAAGAGAGAGGGAAGGAAACAGGCGCTCTGAGTGCTTTTGGCCTCCTCCCATCAGGCCCAAAAGTGGGGTGGGGGGTGAGGAGGGATGTCCGCCCTCCAGCAGGCAGTTGCCCCTCTGCCCCCATCCAAACCTGCATCCCATTGCCAATGGCTCCAAAGGAACATAGAAACAGAGCGAGTCAGAAGGGGCCTCCTGGGCCATCTAGTCTGACCCCCGGCTCCAGCCGGCTCCACTCACGACATGCCCACCATGTGCACGTCCAGCCTGTCCTTGAACACCCGCACTAACAGAGCGACAAAAAGCCCCCAGCCCCTTCCGTGTTCTTCCCATGGCCAGTGCCATGAGCCACGTATCCCAGTGCCGGAATCCCCTCAGTTTTACTCCTTCGACGTTTTTCCTCCTTTCTTGTAACCCACACCCAGCGATCGTGGTGCAGTGGCAGAAGCCATGGAAGCCCTTGGGCCACGGTATCTGGAATGAAACCTCTCCCCACTACTTGCTTTCAGAGCCTTCCCTTTCTGCCCTCCGGGCCAAAGCCCTGTGACATTACACAGTCGTTCAGCCACTAAAGGGTAGACAAATTGAATATTTTCACATGCGGATTTAGAGTTCAGGCCCCACTGCCCTGGAATAATGGCACATGCTATTAAGCTGACCGTTTGATTTACAGGATTTCATGCATGGCATGGGCTGGTTCTTATCTGGAGGCGTCTCTTTGCGGGGAAATAGCCCAATTTTCACCTCCTGGGATCCCCAGGGCTCCGTTTTGTCCCTGCCTGTTCACTGACCTGGGAGGAGTAGGGGGGAAAGGAACTGGCAGCGTGTTCAGGTGCAGTGGATTAGTGAAAGTTGCTGAAGTGCGGCATTTCTACCAGCCCAGGCAGGGAGCAATTGCTTAGTGTGGGGCTCTTTGTTAACAGGGGGCCATTAATGTCCTTCCCATCCTGCACAAGAGCAGCAACAGCCAAGAGGGAGCAAAACACTCTGTTTGCAAAGAGGGTGCGGTCTGTCCGTCTGGTGCATAAGCATCAGGACCGTGACACCCAGACACCTGAAACACAGCGTGCAACCTCGGGGGAGTGTGCATTCAGGGGTCGTTCTGTTTTCTCAAATAAAAATGCATGGATTCGTTTAGATCCAATTAAGGGTGCCCGTGTGCTCGCCAGTTGCAGTGACATCTTTGGTGACTAGGGAGGACTTCCCAACCCAGCGCGTGTCTTTGCAGGCTTCACCATGTGGAGCCAGAAACAAAAGCAGATTGGAGAGACAATAAGCCAAAAGATCTCGGTAGCAGCTCGGCAAATGGGTGCATTAATTCTGATTTCAGCGCCCAGCTGACCTGTATCCTAAGGGGATTCTTCCTTATTTATGTGGGATACCAAGTAGTAAAGCAACATGCAAGGATCCATCTGTTCTTTGCTTTGGGGTGGGGGGGGGCATCTCAGCACCCCAGCAACCAGTTGGTCATGTGCCCTCATTTGTGAAGGACTCTCCTCTATTTGGAGGCATCCTCTCTTGGAGAAGTTGCCCTGCCCCGTTCCAGTTGGAAGAGCCCGAACAATAAGAACTGTTGTCCACTGTCATCTCCATATTTGCATCTGTCCAGGTCAACTGTGCCTGTTGTTGGCAATCATGCCCTTCTTGTGCCCTCATTTTGAGGGCATTTGCCCCCTTCTTGGCCCTTTCATAAGTGAAACCCTACCCAGGACAGACTCTCACCCCACAGACTGCGATCTGGAGAGCCTTATAATTCCACACCGCACAGCAATAAAGGGAAGGCAGAGAGAGACGGTAACAGGGCCTTCTAGCAGAGGACCGAGACCTGAGGCAGTGTCAAGAGGAGGCCTCCTGGGGCACCGGCCAAGGCCCACTCGCCCTTGGACGCCCACGCGCAGAAGCTGTTCCCCTGGCCATCGCCACCTGCTTGCCCACTGCCTCTTGCGGTGGTCCACACAACGGAGGAGTTGGGGAAGAGGAGACGATGCTCTTGGACCGTCTGCTTCCCAGATAAGCCACGAGGAAGAAAAGGGCAGGAGCAAGAGCTGCAGGTGGCAGTGGTGCCGAGGAGGAAGGTTTGCTGAGCAAGGGGTCCGTGGAGGTGCCTTACCCTCACGATCTCAAAAACCCAGATCCACAGCTGCCCCGCTTGCTAAGAGGAGCAGAGCAGAGCAGAGCAGAGCAGAGCAGGTGGCGCACTGGGAGCAGAGAGGGCACAGGGTGGAGCTGAAAGAAGGAGTGCAGAGGTAACCTGGAAGTTCAGCTGCCGCTGTGGTGGTCCCAGAGCGACCGCTGCCCTGCTCCCTAAGGGGAACCACCAAATTCAAGCCGCTGCATCCAGCCGTCTCCTCAAACCAGTTCTAGTGGTTCTCACCTCCCTGAGGAGCAGGCCTTTGCCGAAATTATCCATTCAAGGGCAAGCTTCGCCTTACGTGGCAGAACAGCCCATCACCGGGAGAGCTCTGCTCCCCAGCACATCCCAGCTCAGCCGCTGTGAGGAGGGCAGCTCCACTCAGAGAGAACAAGGCATCCCAAAGAGGGTGGCAGGTGACCTCAGCACCCCTGCTAATGAAAAGGTGCTGGAGCTGCATCCCTGGATCCACTGCACGGGTTCCACTGCTCTGAAGGCCCGGAAAGGCGTTGAAGGCAAGCGGCCTGGAGGGAAGGACAAGAATGCCACTCGCTGCACTGAGCGATTGGCAAGGTGGCACAGACCGGGGTGGGATAGAGAATATCCTGGAGGACAGAAAGATGAGTCAAGGTGGGCTTGTCAGGTTGGCGCGCCGGGCAGGAAGCAACAGAGCGAAATTCAATAGGGACAAATGCCAAGTTCTGCACCCGGGAAAAAGAAAGCAAGAGATCTTGCAGGATGGAGGATACTTGGCTCAGCGACTCTGCAAATGAGACGGATCTTGGAATTGATGCCGATCACAAGCTGAACGTGAGTCTCTGCAGTGTGAGGGCAAATGCTATTTTAGGCCACATTAATAGAAGTGTCGCTTCCCAATCCCACTTCCCAGCTCCAAGCCCTCGTTCCCCTTTGCTCCGCAGAGGCGAGGCTCTTCTGGAGTCCTGTGTCCAGTTCTGGGCCCCACAGTGGAAGAAAGATGCCGACGAGATGGAAAAGTCGACAAAGATGATCCAGAGACTGAAAACCGTCTCTGTGAGGAGAGACTGAGAGCACTGGTCATGTTTAGCCTCAAGAGAAGCCTGAGTGCAAGTGCCTGAAAGGCTGGGCTGGGATCTCTTCTCCATCATCATCATCATCATCATCCTCATCCTCATCTCTGGGACACGGAATAACAGGCTCCAGTCACACGCAGCCAGATTCCGGCTAGATATCAGGAAGACCTTTCTGTCTGTTAGAGCAGCCCGGCAATGGAACCAACTGCCTGGGGAGGTGGGGGGCTCGCCCACCCCGGAGGCCTTCAAGATGCATCTGGACAGCCTTCTGAGCAGGGGGGCTTAGCTGGGGGTCCTGCACTGAGCGGGGGGCTGGACCTGATGGCCCTCTGGCCCCTCCCAACTCTGCGGTTCCATGATTCTGTGACGAGGAAATGTCAGGAAAGCTCTCACACATTCAAAAAAACAAAACTAAACTTCAAGAACAGCGGGAACACCCGCGATATCGACTTCTGCGGAACGGCTCAGGGCTTTAGAATTTGATACTCCTGGGGATCGGATACAAGGTCACCACCCCGTCGTCATCCCTGCTGCAGTCGTCCTCATGACAGATTTTCCACAGTGAAACTTTAGAAGAGGCGGTGGGAAAGCTCAGGGAGCCCTCCATGGCTCTGCAGTCCACAGTGGCGCTCCACAGAGAGGCCCTTTAGAATCCAGCCTAAAACTCAGTGGCTACACCAGCCCATTCCCATGGGAGACCCCAGATCTCACTGTGCAGCCATACATTTTGAGGTGCACCCACACGACCTGACAGTGGCCACAAATGCACTCCCCCCAGAATCCCAAAAGCGCAGGCAGTGGCGTTGATGAGTGCCAACAAGCCACTCCTGGCCATCTCCATCTCCAGCCAGGCACAGCCGTGGCTCTGACTTGCCCGTGAGCGACCGAGCGGGCCCAGCATTATGACACGGCAGCTAACAATACGCCCTTGCTGAGGAGACCCATTTTCTCCCTGTAGTGTGAGGGTCATAACTAAGTGTAGGGGGGGAGAGGGACTTCTGAAGGGGTGGCGGATGAGGACAGGGTCCCTGCTACTGGAAGCACGATGGCGCCACCACCCAGAAAGCCCTGCTCTGCTGGCGCACACCAAAACCAGGGACCGCCTTGCAGCTCCTGCTTTGCCGCGGAGCTCTGGCGGCCCTCTTGCCCTTCTGGGATCTTGACCCAAACAAGGGGCAGTTTATTAACTAAGCTGCCCAAAGCAACGCTCCTCCCAGTTTGGGGGGGAAGCCAACTTTTAAGAGTAACGTTTCCCTTTTCCAGCAGAACTTGCCCACTAGTCCAGGTGGCTGTTCTGCAAACTCCGGCAGCCTCCCCCGCTGGAAAGGGCTCCCACCCAATTTGTCTCATCAAGAAACCAATTAACCGGTCTTGCTCCCACCGAGCAAAAGGCCACCTTGGCCCCACGCTTCCGTACAGTCCAGAGGGCGCATCCCAGGCCGGCACACACAGGGCATACGCACCCCCCCCCGGGGTTTGGCACCGCTGTGGGCCAAGTTCACATCTCTTTCTCAGCACACCTGTCCCAGCTGCTTCCGGCTCGTCGTGGCATTTGTTGACAACCCTATCGAAAGCGGCTTTCGATGTGACAGGGACCGATCGCTCACTCTCAGACAGTTTATGCAAGGGAGGGGGCTTGACGGAAATGTGTATTTGGGGGCGAGGGGGTGGGCAGGGAGCCCATCAATATCAGGGATGGAACAAGGGCCTCTGCAGCTGCCGCCCCCAGCCGATGAGACGCCTCACCTGGGCCCCAAGCACACCGCCTCCAATTAAATCAAAATGGTTTGTTTTTAATGGTCTTTTACTCTGACAAGTGGGCTATCATTTCGGGCCTCGGTAGCTGTCAGCAGCCAAGGCAAATTCTCGTTGATAATGCCCTATGGTTCCAATTAGGCGCCGGGGCCGCTCCTGCCGTGCTAACGATTCCCCAGCCTCTCCCCAGCCCCCTTCGGCGCTTGCGTTTCGTCTTGCCGCCGCCTCCTCCGCCGCAAATTACTGACACAAAACGGAGGTGCCCCAGCGTCTCCCCGCCACGCCAGGCCCGGGCCTGTAGGGTTTAATGAGGCGATGGAAGGTGTGTTCCCCCCCTTTTTTTGGCGGCTTTTCCGCTAAATTCTTTTCTTGTTTGACAGCTGCTCGAGTGTTGACCTTATAAAAGATTTAGTGTTTCTCATTATTTTCTGCCAAGCATCGCAAGTGACGGCTTTCACCGATATCATTTGCATCGGGATACGTGTGTGTGTGTGTGCTCGCATCTGTGTACTTGTACAGAAAGATGTACCCCAAGGTATACTCTTGGACAAGCACACCCTCCAGGAAACAGTGCCATTTCCATGTCTCAAAGGCCAATTCACTTTGCCAAACTCCTGCAAAGTGCAGTATTTTAGACAGATTTGGTTGGACAAGGAACCCAAGGATGGGCTTTGGAAAACGGGGGAAAAGGAAGGGTCCGTAGCATGTGTTCGCCACGGGAGGCATCCATACGTCATCCCACATGCGCAGTCGGGATTTGCGGGGGGAGCAGCTGGTGTCGGGGGGGAGCCATCCCCGGTGTGCTGGACCCAGGCTCTCAGGAAGGCAGGGTCGGCTCCTTGGGACTAGCAGGGATGGTGACCTAGAGTCGTGCGAATGCATGGATTGCCCACACGACGGAGTGGTCCGCTGCAGCTTATGGAAGCCACGGTGGGCTGCAGCGCACGCAGGCGCACAGTTTGAATGCTCGGTGCCAGTATCGCTCTGACATGGAAGTCGCACTGCTTGGGTTGCCCACACCACTGTGGGTGACGCCCACACCGGGCAGGATGTGCACATTCAGTGCCTGGCCATGGCTTGGCTTGCTGTGCTGTGTGAACCTGGAGAGCGTAGGTTATACAAGGGTTGCGCCAGGGGGCTGGGCCAACACCCTCCATTTTCCCCGGAGCGAGCTGGCTGAGTGCATAGGCACAGAGCAAACTACAAGACACATTTTGCAAACCGATCTGAGAGCAGATGAAGTAGGGCCGCTTTGAACAAATAAAGCCACACAGATCGTGCCACCTCCCGACAGTTGCCGCCTGAGACAACTGGCTTCACACTGCCCCTCCGGCCTAAGCGTCCCCCTTTCTTTTCCTTCCACTGCTTATACCTTGATCTTTCCCCCGGATGCCATGGACTACAATTCCCATCATCATGGCTGGTAGCCATGGAAAATGCTGTTCAACACATCTGAAGGGATGGGATAAGGCTGGGTTATGGGGCGAGGGGGAAGGGGGAAGCCCTTCTGAGGCATTTACAATGGGAATTTAAAAACTGAGTTAAAACCAGAATGAAGTGGGGGGCGGGGGGGGCATTTAGGCTCAATCCAGGCTCCTGTACGACCAGGCAGGGCTGCTTGGTTCCCAGCAACGGACCCGAGGAAGGACCCGGGCTTCCCCCTCGGTTTTTAGGGTCAGGATGTGCTTCCTGGAGGCTTTACACCACAAATGCCCTCCAACATTTGACCCTCCATCAGGGCCACTCCTAGGTCTGAGTCCGCAAGGCCCTGAGTGCCCACGGGGGGGGGGCGGGGGTGACAGAAGGCCCTTCCCCCAGCAATCCCCTCCGCTTACTTGCCATTCAGGCAGACATTTTAAAGGAGAATTCAAGCTGGAGAGGGACACATTAATACGCCAGCACTTTGATCCCCTACAGAAAATGCAAACTAGCCCCACATTTATTGTAGGACCACAAGCCATTTAAAACACAATAATCAGTTTAACACACAAGCAATCAGTAAAACCAAATGCCTAACAGCGGTAGGACACCACTGCCTGGCATATGCAAAAGCTAAATGTGGTAACATATTTAAAACATTTCCCATAAATTTCATTCAGAACTGAAGATTCCCTTGCAGATCTTAGCAAGAGAAACTTTAAAAGGTGCAACAGTTTCTGTCCCATGTTTGTTGACATCAGCCAGCAGATCAGTCACCTTTCGTTCCGGGGTTTTCTAGGTAATTTATTAGAAGAGGTGTGATGCATCTTATGCACCCAACCCTTTACCTCACTCCTAGTCCTTGCTTCTGTATTTACCAGAAAGAAATATATTTGCAGACTCGATGCCCGTTTCTGACTTCCGGGGCCTGAGCCCCTGAATCCTTCAAGCACCTGCAGTGCTTCGTCTCACAGAGTGAGCTCCATGGGGGAGGCACCTTTTCAAAGCAGGATCGGGGTCGGGAAGTCTTCCATGCCTGGCAGGCCCCGGGCTCTTCCTGTTGCCTCCAGAGACACCCACTCCTTTGGAGCCGCCTCCCAAGCACTGGGACCCTGCAGAAGCTTCACACTACAACTCTCGGTGTTCCTAAATGTTCTCTGAGCCCCCCGCCCCGCCCCCGGGTGGAGAAAGACTGCTTGGGAGCAAGAACCAGGCAGAAACCCCTCCAAAGGCAGTGGGCCAGAGGCAGCAACCCGAACTTCCAGTGGGCTGTCCATGGCTCTGAGCCTTGCTTTGGTCCTGTGCTCAGCACTCTGGATAGCTCCTCCAGCCTTCTCTCAGGGTGATGCTTGGCACTCACGGGGGCTTCTAATTTCCCCGTGTGCACTCACAGGACCTCGGCAAGGCAAACCTGGTCAGCAGATAGCCTGGGAATGCCCACCCTCCCAGTGGGCATTGAAATATTGCCAAAGGCACCTGTTGGTTCCACGGGAGCCAGTGGAAAGCCTTCTGCTGTCCCCTTTCAGCCCTCCCCCCACCCCAGCCTCCCTTCCCTCACCCCCAAACCAAGCCTGCTTCGAGTGGAGCCTAATTGTGGATTTAGACATCGAACTTGGAAAATGCCAAGTGATCTGCTCTAATGAGATTTGAGGACTTAATACCTGCATGTCCACAATTATCTTTGAAGAGGCAGAGTTGTCTGCCAATCAGGAAAATTAGCCCGTGGTATCAGACTCATTCATTACGCCATCTTTAGATTGCCTGGGATAAGGTTTCCCAAGTGGACCGGAGACAGAGGACTTAATCGCCCGTTCCCAAAGGGCGCAAAGCCTTGAGGGTGGGTTGAATATGACGAGCAGGCTGGAAGCAGGAAGGACGGAGGTGCTTCAACCTCTGGAAGGTGTCGAGAAACTTTGGCCAATTACGTGTTCAGTGGCACAGAAAATGAGGCTCACAGCCCACATCCAGTCCACCTGGGGGGCCTCCACCTGACGGTTACCCCCCTCCCCTGACGCTTGGCTCCGGCCACAGGTCAGCAGGGATTCCATTCCCTCCACCCCAACATTCTGGGAAGATGCAGTGTAAGGACTTCCGGCTAAAGCAGGCTGCGAGTCCTTACTGGTGTATTTGGGCCCCGGCCCTTTCGCCTTGGCCCCACTCTCCACAACAAGGAACCGAGTTTGCATGGGGTGAGATCCTGCACCCTTCTGGGCTGAATCAGAGCAAGGCCGGGGATTTCTTCTGACCAGTGTGATGCTGAGGGAATGAAGGCCTGGGGTCCGTGTGGGGCTGGATCAAAGAGGTGAAACAAAGGATGCCCAAAGGTGAAGACTGGATGTGCGCGCGTGCGTGCGTGCGCGTGCGTGCGCGCACACACACACACACACACACACACTTGATGAACGAACGTCAGTTTCCTAACTGTCTTCCAGGGGGAGCCTCATGCACAATACATTGCAATATTTGGGAGGGGGGTTGGGTGGTGCTTGCTTTTTTAGGGGGCTGGGGGCTATAGTTGATCTATTTCTTTCTGGCCAACATTTCATTTTTCTGCTGCTTTTATAAATTCGCTGCTTTCAGCGACTAATTTAAGCCTTAGTTCTTTCAGAGTGTGTATTTGTGTGTGTGTTTCGTTATTGTTAGCCACCCTGGTACCTTAACTGAAAAATGGGATCTGAGCCTTAGTGAGCCAGAGCACTTATCTGCACAAGCATCCAGGCCTCTCCGTGCCTCGCAACACAGCCTGTGACATGCCTGCCTTGTTTCTTCTAGGTGGGCCCACATCTCTCCACCTTCCCAGACCAGGAATCCCACAGGAGGGCAACTGAGGCCTTCCGCTCGGAAATCCCCGTAAGGACCGGGTCCCTGGCGCAGGGCATTTATACCACGGCCCGCTGAGCAGCAACGGGAGCCGGTGTGGGGAGAGAAAGCACAGTCGTTGGTGCAGGAAACGCAGGATTGGACTTTCCTGTTCTAAGCTTGGAGAGCTTCCCCTTGTCTTCGTGTGCTTGATTAAACTCATGATTGCCCAAAATGCTTTGTTATACATCCCCTTAATTAATTAATTGGCAGCAGTTCGCACTGCTGTTCAGCCCGAAGGCTCCCAGGGCACCTTGCAGAAGATCGATAACAAGCAAGGCAACCAGGTTGCAGATCTTAGTGGCAAGGGCAAGCGACTCCAGGTGGTGTTTCCTTCGGATCATAAGCTGTACCGTTTTGCACATCACTGAGAAATTTCTATTAATGTAAGCAGGCCATAAATACCATTGAACAGACCAATAAACATTCCCCCATCTTGGGCTGCACAAAAAAGAAAAACACCCCTGCAAAAGCGGAAATAGGCCAATGCAAAGTGAAGTCCTCGTCTGCTTATTTTCTACTTGCAGGGAGGTCTTGTGTGCCATTTTGGGCAGAAGGGGAGGGAGGGCTCAGTGGAAATGCAGCTGAGCTGCACAGAAGGGCTGCAGGGGCCCCTTTGTGAGTGGGGGCACGTCTGCTTGTTTTATTTCATGTATATTCCACCCAATAGCCAGAAGGCGCTCTTCATGCTCGGAATCAGGCCCCTGTATCCGTTTTTCCTTCAGAATAAAGCTGGCCAGAGTGAGGATGGGGCTCTTTCCTCCCTTGTGTGACTAAGGTAAGGTGCAGCTCAAGGGTGACCATCTTATGGCAATGCAGAAGCGAATTTTCTCCATGGCAGCCCCCCCACGGGGGGCGGGATGCTGAGTATTTTGTGCTTCGGGGGCCTGTGAAAGGACCCACTGCTTCACCGAATCCTTCCTCGAATAACCGTGCTGCCGCAGCTAAGCTGTTGAGTTCTTGCTATATTTGCGTAGCCCGAGTTTTAAATCTTTTGAGCTTGCCTCTGAGTTTTAGTCTCTCTCCAAATGTGCGTTTTCTTCTTTGCTTTCCTGCTGGGGGGGTCCTTGCCCCCCCAGGTAATCTTGATGCTCTTCAAGAGGGTGCTGCGCTCCTTGAGGACCCCCCGCCCGCCTCACCTTCTTGGTGCTGCTTGTCCTGCAGCGCCACCTGCTGGCTGCTCCGCCGCAGGCCCCCGATGGCCACGTTTTCCTCGTCCGCTCAGGTCTCCTTCGAGGAAAAGACCCCTGCCCCAACCCCGCTTCCCTGTTTTCGGTTGCATCTTCTCCTCGAGGGGCTCGCCGCGTCGCTTTTGCGCGAAACGCCCTATCTTGGCCATCGTGGGCATCCACAGCACGGAGACTTTGCAGACCGACGCAGTCAGAAGTAACATTTAGCGAGTTGCAATAAAGATCGGGTTAACCGCATCGCTTTGTCCCCTGCCAGTCTGGATTTCTTCAGAACTGGGGAGGAAATGAAGGACGCCCTGTCTGAATGGATACCTCAATGCAGAGGCAGTGTGCTGTAGTGGTGAGAACAACTGAGATAGTTCCGAGTAACGTCTGCATTTCATATTTTGAAAAACGGCAGCTCGGCCACTGTTGTTGTTTCTTCATCCAAGGGACACTTGACGCAGCTTTGGAACCATTTCGGTGCTTCCTGGAGCCTAGCAGGAATATTTTCATTCCCCACCAGGTCCTGACAGGAAAAGGCCTACAACTCCCAGGATGCCCCAGGAAGCTTCGCCGCAGGCCTTTTCCTGCGTAGAAGTACAGAGTTCTGCAGTCCACTCTTGCTCTCAATAGGAAGCTTGTAATTCTTCCAGGTTTGGAGGGTCGCAGACATGCGCACGGGACTGTTCCCTAAAGCAGCTTTTTCACCTTTCTCGACTTGTTTCTTCCTCTCTTCCTCTCCCTTTCTCCTCTTCTGCTTCTTCCTTCCCCGCCCCCCCCGCCCCACTTTCTTCCTTTCCTTCCTGCCGCTTCATCCCTTGAGTTTTGCTAAGTTCTCTCTGTCTGTTTTCATATTTAAGAAATCACTTTTAAAGCAACAAGACAGAAAGAGAGAAAGACAGAGGTACCATAACATTTAAACGGAAAAAAGGTGGGTCACCTGAGAAGCAGTAATCTTCCGGGGAGATGAACTCGAACGCAGCAGTCTCTGCACACAATTTGCAAAACTGCCGCTGTGGAAAGATGGTTGTGTGGAAAACGTGGTTGATCTCTGTTGCAGGAGCCATAATTATTTGGGGTCCAGCTCCCCCACACCTCCACGCAGATTGCACAGAGGATCTCTGTGGCCTGAATCCTAGTCACCCTTAGGCAGAAATACTGGCCCACGTGGTAGGTTGGGGATGATGGGACTTGTAGGCCTTTTTTCTGCCAAAACATGGCGAGGATTGTTCCCTAAGGCACTGAAGGCCTAAAGCAGCGGGAGCAAAGATGAAGCCGTGGAATAGAACAGGGACATTATAACTATTGTTCCTTTGTGAGCAGCCAAAGGACCCTGGTCGGCCTGCAAGAGCGAGGCTTTCGTCTCCGAGGTTCCAAATGCTTTGGCTAGAACAAAAATGAATCCGCTGCGCTTCTCTTTCCCAGCATAAAATGAACAAGACAATACCAAGGATACTTCCAAAGAAGGAGATTAAAGGCAGAAGCCTAGGTGTGTTCACACAGAAATAAGTCCATCATCCCCAGCCTACCATGTGGGACAGGTTGGGATTTATTGGGGGGGGGGGTTCCTGTCTAAGCATACATAGGCTTGCAGCCTGGGGGAGTGGGCTGGGGTCAGTCAGACACTGGATAGCCTTTCCCACGTTCCAGAGCGTTTAAGCAACCCCACTTATGCTTCGGCAGAAAAACTCCTACAATTCCCAGCATCGCTGGCTGGGGAATGCTGGGAACTGTAGGACTTTCTGGGGGCGGGTAAACTTGCCTAGGACCGCGCCCTCAGTAAACCCACCCCGGCCTCCGAAGCATCGGAGCGCTTGCAACCCGCCAGGCTGAAGCCACCGGGTGGGGGGGCGGGGGGCGCCGTTCAGTGCGGCGCTGGCTTGGGACGGCTTCGCCTTTGCCCCCGCGGGAAGCCGGGCCAGCTCCGAGGGGGGCCCGGGGCAGAGCGCTCTTCCGAGCTCCGTGCGCCCCCCGCTCCACGCCCCCGGCCCCTCCCAAGAGGAGGCGAGAAGGCGAGAAAAGGTCGGGCCCGGGACGTCCGAAGGCCCCATCCGTCGGTGACGACGGGCTCTCGCGCTCGCTCGCTCTCCCCCCCCCCCCCCCCAACAGCTTGCAGCCGGCCCGGTTTTGCCCTGGCGAGGCAGCCCGGCACCCGCAGAGAAAAGGCCTCCGCGCCGCCCGGGCGCTCGCTCACAAGCTGCTCCTCCAAAGGGGACGCTCGGAGAGGAGGCGGGGAGGACGAGGAGAGGGGAGGAAAGGGAGAGGGAGAGGGAGAGAAACGGGGAGGGAGGAAGGAAGGAAGGAAGGAAGGAAGGGGGGAGAGAGAGGGAGAGTCTTTTACCTGAACATAAATTCCAGAGAATTTCACGGTGAGGATCGGGACCCAGGACAGTACCCTAAGCCCGTGTACCCATAATGCGATCCTAGGAGTGTTTACTCAGAGGTAAGAGCCCCAACTGGCCTGCCTTGGGATCCGTCTCTAGCAGCGACGGCTCTCTCTCTATTTGTGCTCCAGGGCGGGCTGCGAAGCGAGAATCCAGTCCAGACCTAAACATCGGGTGGGGTGAGGAGGGGGCTTTAAAAATACGGATCAAACGTTTTTTAAAAAGTGGGCGGACAGCGCTGTAATTCTTAGGCACAGATCGAAGGTCGTGTCGGGGTGGCTGCCACGTCCCGGGTCCCTCCTTACCCGCGAAGTTGCAGCAGCCTTGCTGGTAAGACAAGACTAGATCGGCGGGAGTTACTCCAGTGTAAACACAAATCGGAAGCGTGCAGGAGATGGCGGGGCAAGCAGAAGGTTCGCACGAGCGTCCTACGCAACGGGGACTGAAGTTGCGCGCGCTGAATTCGGAGTGAGCGCCCGGGAAAGCGCAATTGCTGAGAGAAAAACCAGCGCAGGATCAGGCCGCAAGCCCGAAGCCGCTCGCGGGGCCGAAAACGCGTCCTCGGGCATCTTAGCAGCTCGTTCTCGGATCGTTTCAACTTCACTTAAATCGAATTCTTCCATGCATTTGTGTGTATGCTTTTTAACAGAAAAAGGTAGATCGACATGGAATATTCATTGGTATTATAACAGGCCAGATCTTAGAAATATATTAAGGACGTAGAATTTGTGTTCTCTGAAGAATGGGTCTTTTCAGAATTTGTGAGAACACCTGCGAGAAGCTGGTGGTCTGAAAAAAAAATTGGATCCCCCCCCCCCCCGGTTTGGGGAAACGGTTCTGGTGGAGGGAAGAGAAAGCCCGGAAAAAGCTGGAACCGACCCTCCAAGTTTGGGGATTTCTCGCGCCCCGATTTCCTTTATTTTTCGCAGCACTTTAGGGTAGAGAGAAAGAAGGAGCTGAGAAATTTAACGGGAGCTTCGTTTCTCCCGATGGAATGGAGAGGGAGGCGGCCCCGGCGCCCCGGAAGGTACTTAATTCCTAAGCGTTTAGAGACGGAGCTAGCTGGAGTTGTCTTTGGCTCCTGGAAGAAAAAGAAAGGACCGAAAACGGTTCGGTTTAAGGAGAATGGAAACAGCTGGGAACCAACCACGCGGTCGCTTCGAACCTGCTTCTGCGGCGGTACGTTCCACCGACGTGGCTCGATCCTTCCTTCCTCAGCCCTTACTCCAGAGGAACCCCGCTAGGCTGTCCCCGGAACTCCCGTGGAAGCTCGAAGGATCCTGGCCTGCCAGCGCATTCGCCGCTCGTCCTTCGTGCTCGGTGCAAGCGAAGGACCTTGACATCTCCAAACCCCGCCACGTGCTTAAAATGGGGGCGGGGGGGGCAGGGTGTTACTCGCACGTAAATTCTCTCAGATTCAGCGAGATATCCGTGTAATGGACCCAGAATATCATGCAGCATCTGCCTTTCCTTCTTGGAGGACGTATTAAAAAGTTCTAACTTGGGGTCAAAATAGGAATTTTCTGGATTCTTCAGTAAGTGTTTTATTCGCATCTCTATTACCCCCCCCCGTCCAAAACACCCCTCATATTTATTTATAACATTTATAATTTGAAGGAAGTCTCTACGAATTCAATGGGATTTACTCCCGAGTAAACTTTAAGTGTGTCTAAATTTAATTCTTACACAAAATACCAATATATACCCCACACATGCACACGACTAACACAGCTCTCATGTATGTGTCTACTCAGAAGTAAGACGCCATGGCCCTCAATTACTTGGAAGTAAGGCACGTGTTTTAAAGGCTATTGCCCTGTATCAGCTTCCTGTCATTTCTTCTTCTTCTTCTTCTTCTTCTTCTTCTTCTTCTTCTTCTTCTTCAAGAACAAATGGCTACAATGATTTTGCTAGTTTTTTTTCCAAATTTGACTGGACATTTGTTCCTCAATATAGAAACAAACATTTTGCCGAGGCGAAGGGTTTGTTTCTTTTTGTTACGTTGATAGATTTTTACTAAAAAGAAAAATAAGAAAGGTGAAAATTTGAAAGAAAACTTCCTTGTCAGAAACATTTCAAAGAGATTGTTTTTTAAAAATGCTCGCCTGGCATTTATGTAATTCATCTTTTATTTAACACAAAAAATCGCCCTATAACAATTTTAAAACCCGCTATCATCAGCACCATTCAGCTAATTGTGTACCAAATATAACTCGGTTAAAAACGCGCCCGAATTCACACGCTCGCAGAGAGAGAGAGGCTCAGACCAGGTCCTGCCTCCCCGCCCCGTCTCCACATTGCTAATAACCCCATTTAGAAATTCATCAGAGGCGTAATGATGGGAAACAGGGTGGAAATGGCCTGTTAACAGTTGGATCTGGACAGTAATTAATGCAGTGTCTCTTCTAATCAAACCCAGGAAAGATCAAGTTGCCGTAGGCTCCGAGCGCGCGGGAGCGTGCGTGTGTGTGTGTGTGCGTGTGTTGCGCGCGTGTGTGTGTGACATCACCCTAAAAGCCGGCTGACCAATCCGGAGGGTGGCTGTGGGGCACGTGGACTTGGGATCGCGGTTAAAAAAAAGAGGAAAAAGAAGCAGGCGAGAGAGAGCGGAGGGCGAGCGCGGCGCAGGCGGCTCAGGCTCGGGCGTTGCGCGCGTGGCGCCGGGCGCAAGGAGCGGGGCGCCGAGCTGTCCCGGGGCGGAGGCGGCCCCGCTCCGGCTCCGGCTCCCGTCCGGCGGCCGGCGGCGTGCGGGGCCCGCGGC